ACGTCTTTGAAGTCTATCGTCCTCAGACTAATTATCAGCACCGCTCAATGTACATTCACTTAATTACAGTAAATTAAAAAAGATGTGGGGTTTTGGAGAAAAATAAAAGAATCAATAAATGGTGACAGAAATTCCCGAGTCTGCAAATGAGCAGTGCCCATCCTTGGGGGAGACCAGTATTTCCCCCTCATCACTGCAAATGTACAAATAATTACCCCCCACCAGACGGAGGGGGTGTATGGGAGGGGTGGGGGGCTGGGGAGCACTTACTGTGGACCAAAACTGTGTAGGTGCTTGAGATTGTTGATCTAACTTAATCCCATAACCATGTACAAAAGTGAAATAAAACGAATTTTCTAGCTTTTATAAATAACAGGAGCACACACTTAATCTGGGGTTCATTAGACGCCAGGCTCTGTTCTAAGCCCATCATATACCTGAACTCGATGAAGCCTCACGACAACGTGTAAGGACTGTACACTGTTCGCTATTTCACCCCTGTGGAAACTGCAGCACAGGAGGGTTAAGCAACTTGCCCAAGGTCACACAGCTGGGAGGCGGGAAGCCAACTCAAACCCAGGTGGTCTGCCCACTACAACACGTTCTCAACTATTGCCCCCAACGGCAACTGTCGGGGTCTTGAATCGCTGGGAGGTACCAGAGGAGCGCCAACTGCTCCTGGTCTGCTGGACCTCACAGGCCTTTGCTTCCCGAGGGGCGGAGGAGACCGCGGGGACAGGGTGGAGCAGGAGGCTGAGGACTTACAGCAGGAGCACACACGTCCCTGGACTAGCCGCACAGCCAGGAGAGATGGAAATGCTGGGAACTTGAACTCAGGGTGATTCAGAAACAAAGAGTCTTAGGGGTTGAATGAAAAGACCTAAATCCTGTCTGGCATGATCCAAACCCAGGCATCCTTCATGACACCCCACTGCTGGGTGACACAGGACGCAAATACATGCTTGGATTCTTCTGGGAAAAGATGCACAAACGAACATTTTTAAAGCTTAAAGGGTTGATGTTTTGAAAAGGTCTTCATTCCTGACATTTATGTAGATCACAGGAACTGCCATCAGGTTCCTTGCAAAGCCAAATAGGGGGAAATCAGTCAGGGTCTTTTTGAGCAACACATCAGAGAAGGAACATGCCTAGACCAATCCTGGGCATGCTGCTAGCTTCTCCTTCGATCAGGGCTTTCGTCAGTTATTTGGTAAACTCTCAATAGCTACCAGAACTGCCGCTACTAGGTGGTCCCAACCCCTGGGCCCTCCAGGATTTGCAGCTGACTTAGGACAGTGGGGACAACCACAGCGACTGACGTGTGTCAAGGTCTACTTCATATTCTTAACTGGGAACGAAACTTGCATTTGGAATTCCATATGAAACTGCATCTACGGGACAATTTCCCCCCCTCAAAATGCTTCTTAACTTCAAAGCATAGTAGTGAAGGGTTAGTTTTGCAAAATAATAAATGTTATCTCTTGTTTTGAATCTCTGCGAACGTGGCGACGTGCGACATGGTCCGAATGTTCTCTCACCCCCGTGGGATGCTCAGACCATCCGCATCGCATCGGCCGCACAGCAGCTCCAGCCCCGTCTTCGCCTGAACTGCTGGCCTCTTTATCAATAAATAAATGAAATCGAATCCCTTTTAGTTACTAAACTGCTCTTTGAAGCTGTAACTAGAACATCAGGCACTCGGCTTGCATGATTTTACGAATGTTGAATAACATTTTTTTTCTCTTCTGGGGAAAACAGCCTTATTGGGTTATGAGAACAGTCAATGAGAACTCCCATGCTAAATGGAAGGAAAACAAGTCGGTGTCTGTTTCTAAATTAGTTTCATTCTGGTAGGATGTCTTACATGCGGCCTTCCTGTTTCAACTTCTAGCGATATACTATAATAGAACTCTCAAGGACGCAACTCAAGCTCATACAAAAATAAATAAAATGAAACAATTACCGTAACTGGAAGTCAAAGGGAGAAAGAACTGGGAAATGAACAGTCTTTCAAAGCTGGAGCAATTAAAACACCTGAGGAGGAGAGAACTGAATTATTTATAGCAATTTTATGTTAGAAATATTTGAGCAGAAGGAGTAGTGATACTGAAATATGTAATAGTTTTGAGGATATTGTTTATAAAGATGTTAGAAGTCACAACTTTTAATCTTTACTGTAACCCAGTTTAAGAAAATAGTATAGGTTTTTTTTTGTATCAGAAAAAAATCCCAAATACTCCTGTTTAATCCCACAACTCAAAAATTATAAAGTCTACTAAGTATCTCAGAAATTTATGCTTCCCCAGATCTTAATGTAATTAATTACTTTAAATGCAACCTTGTTCCTTCCGACTAATCCCTGAGAACTCCGGACAAAAACATTAACTTGATGTTCCTGCAGAGATTCCTATTAGGCCTAGGAAACAGCGGGATTCGGGGGGTGGGGGGGGGGGGGTCATAGCCACTCTATTTCCTGTTCATTTTCTTCCTTAAGCTGATCTCCTTACGAGTTCTTAGACCATCAAAATGTTTAAAAAACCACCACAGCCAAACCTTGGGAAAAGAGTAAACACAGGCTTAAGTCATCACGTGCCCAACTCAACAAACATTGTTTTTGACACCTGATCCCCGGAACCTGGCTGACCTGCTGACTCTCAACATCACCGCCGACGTTCTGAGCTTCAGGGCCAGGCCCCCGGCGCCCTCCGCCTGCCTCTCCTCACCGTGCTTCGTAACAACCCGAAGAAAGGAGGGTGCACGGCTTCTCCTGCCTTTACGTCGCTCTAAGACCCCGGCCTGAGAGAGTCCTGGGGAACGGAGCTCCTCCGCTAGTGAATAATCATCCATCAGACGGGGCGGGCAATGGCGTGAGAAACTCACAAGTCTCCCTCCGCGTGTCCCATCATCTGGATGTTACCCACTGCTAACGAAATCTGCGCAGTTCAGAGTTTTACATTTTTTGCAAAGAAAAAACATGACACTGTTCAGGAAGTCATTGCGAGTTAGTTTTAGCAGATATAATCTTTAAAAATGATAAAATTAATTTATATTTTACCAACAGACAACCACAACAAGGCACACTTGTCCGCAGAGAGAGAAAGAGACGCTACAGGGGCTGTGGGTAGGAGGGACAAGCTGACCCAACGTGAGGTGGCGGAGAATCGGCACTGAACGCACTCGCCTCCTGCATCCTACTCTGCTTTCTACAACCATCATAAATGGTATCGTGCATTTTAGGAAAATCAAATGCCAAACGCCACCTCTGAGTGTAACCACTGTATCTGCGGCGGCTCAAAGACTGGTAATGTGCAGACGGACAGACAGGAGGCACGGCTTATGCCAAACCTTATGCACTTACGGTGCGTGGCTCCTGAACGCACAGTGAGAACGGATGGAGACACAGGCGGACGGACCGGCTCGGGGAAATGCTCGCAGCCAAGTCTAAGACGAGTGCTGTCAGCAAGCACTGTCCTTGTTTGCTCCCCTGGGCTGGAGTAAAGCCGGTCTCCACCCAAAATGGACATTTCCAAAATGAATATACGGGTGCACGGTACTGACTGATTCTGACTTTGGTTTCATGCACTGAAGTATTCCATATAAGATACAGCTTTAGCCGGTTTAACAGACTGTATTTTCAGGACCAGGAAGGAGATGACGCTACAGACGGAGAACCCTGGGCAGCACCTCGGGCGGGGCCTTAGCTGGAACCGAAAGCTGACCACAGACCCGCTTTCCTGCTCCAAAGCGGAGCCGGCAGATCCACTCAGTAAATAATAAAAATGAGCATCACTGGCAAAACGGCCGTCCTTTTCAGATGGCACGCAGCTCTTTCACTTTAAATTTCTCTTTGCTGTCTGACGCGTGTACACGGAGCATTCATATCGACACTGAAGTGGCAGGACGCCGCTGACATTGAACGCTGAAGGAGAGATGCCCTTTCGTTGTCCGGGCATCGGGCTGATGCCCCAATTCTTCCTAGACGTGACGCTGACTAAAAATTAGGTTTTCTTTAAAATCTATGATTGTATATACATTAAGTTTTGGTTATCTTGCATTGGGCAATAAGAAAAAAAGTCTCAATAATTTATAAAGACTTTTTTCTTACGACACGTACAGCTGCTGTCTGGATAGCCTAAAATCCAATTTTGTGCGTGGATTTAATTGCCTAGGAATCTAGTCCCCAACGCACATCAAAGGCCACACTCCGTCTTTCCCAAGATTTCAACTGCTCTCGTCAACTAGTAAGTTCAAGGCCTGATCAAATTTGTTCTTCAATCACTCGAGCCCTGTTAATAAACTATTCTGTGCGCTCACTCATCCATTCTAAGAATCTGCAACCTCTCTGAGAGATCTTCAAGAGCGATCTACAAAGACAGCTTTGATTGCAAGCTGGCTCTGGGGTAAGCTTTCTCAGGGCTGGCTTTGAGGCTCCTCAGAGAATACTAGGTGACCTGGTCCAAGATAAGTCAAAGCTAATCTATTTATTTATTTTTTCTGTACACGATTAAACTGTTTTTCAAAACTAGAGCGAACGCATCACAGGCCGCTTGCATAATTGAACAATCTCATTTTGAATATTGATCTTTTTTTCCAGGAAAAAACAATGCATGATTCAAGGTCATTTCTTGAGTTCTACTGCGTTAGAACAAAAAGAACGGC